AACATCTTTTAACAACAATAGAAAAACAACAAGTCACATAAAGCAAATACTAACAAAGTACCTAGAAAAAAAGTCAAAATACCTAAAAAGATAAAGACAATATTAAAAGAGATCTAGGCCTTAATAGCAGAAACAACCAAAGAAGAAATAAATGAAGATATAGAAGCAATAATGGCAGAATATACAGGACAGAAGCTTTTTCCAAAAGAGATTGTTGATAAAAGAATAAAAAAGTGCTACGAAGAGCTATAGCAGTATAACAGAGGAGAATTGGAATACATAGCATCTAAACTTATAGAAAGAAACCACAAGACCTTTTACAAAGTATAGAAGATAGTGAAGACCCTGTTAATTGCATTATAAAAGAAGAAATATATGATATTGTTTTAAAAATAAAATGAGATGATAAAGTAAGAAGAATACTAATAGATAGAGAAAAGCAAGTTGCTAAAATAAAGGTGAAAATAAAATCAGGATGGAGCAAGAGACTCCAAAAGCAAAGAAGTAGCTAACAAAAATAGTATAACCAAATAGCTCTAAAATCTATAGTACAACAACTCAAAGAATCTGTCAAGTCTGCCGCAGCAACATATCATAAGATTAAGAAAAAAACTAAACAAGCAAAAGAAAAGAAGATACAAATCCTGCAAAAGAAGAAACAAGCAACTGAAATAAAGTTAAAATTAGAAGTAGCTAGAGCAAGAGTCTTCAGAAACAAAGAAAAATTTGACAGAAGCAAAATAATGAGATAGAATTAAGGACTCTGGTTGTAAACTTTAAAGTATCAGCTAAACGAGAATTAGCAAGACAAAGGAGGAAAAAAAAAGGCTAAAGAAAGAAAAGAAAAGAAAACCAAAGAACAAAAAATCAAAGGTCCTGACAAAGTAGAAGCCCTAGACAAGATTTAAGAAGATACAAAACCAAAGACTGAAGTAACAAACCCAACAGAATAATTGATTGAAATAATATATCAAATAAGTATTAAAGACTCACAGATAAATAATAGAGTATGAAAAAAGAAAAAGAGAGATCTGTTTATAAAATAGGTACAAGTTTTGAAGGCCCAAGAAGACTCTGATACAAAATAGATTCAAGATACTCTAACACACAAGCAAAAAGGAGCCAAAAATTAGAAAAAGAAGAAAAAAGATATGTTATTTAAGATACTAGAAAAGATTTTTGTAGAAATCTTTGAAAATTGCAGTATCTGGAGTGAAATTTAAGAAAAATTTTTGGGAAAAAAACCAAAGCCTAAAAGAAAACAAGAAAAAAAAAAGTAAAAAAGAAGACAAAAGGAGACCCATGATTCCAGACTATGATAGGAAAAAAGACTGGGCAGACCATCTATAACTCAGAAGTGAAAAAACCAAAAGAAAACCCAAGATATTTTGAAGAAAAGAAGATTTACAGAAGAATATATCTAGAAAAGCCTAGTAAAAGAAGCTTACAAGAAGTAGAAGAACATTTTGGTATTGTGAAGCAAGAAGAGAAGATCATAGAAAAGAAAACTAGAAGACTTCTGAGAGCAGAGTCGCTTATCGGAAAGGATAGATTAAACTGGAAGAAGAGAAAAAAGAAATATAATTATAAACAAAAGAATTCTGCCAATTTTCTCTTATTGAAAGATAAAATAGAATTACTTGTTAAGAAAAAATTAGATTAAGATTATTGCTTTAAAAATAGTATAAAAAGGAAAATTTGCTAATTAGATGTAGTCAAAAATTCTTTTGATTTGAAACTATCTTATTATGATTTTGCTAGCTAGCTTAGGATAGCCTCTGAGGCAGGTATTAGCTTTAACCAGTAAGGCAAACCGCATTTAGACACCTATAAAAGAAGCTGAGTAATGTCAGATCTGTAACTTAGATAGTAAATAATATTATATATTAGCTTTGATCTAATAAAGATACTGGCGAGGCTGCTGATATTATAAATATATATATATATATATATATATATAGATATTATTATTAAACCTAGATTTACTGTTATTATAATTTCTGGATATCAATAAAAATTAGTCAAAGCTATAACTTAACCAGATTAGCTGAAAAATTATTTGACAAATTTTATTAAATATTCTAAGAATTATAGTAATAGTATTACAGTACTGTAGTTTTCTTAACAGTAGTACTATAATAATAACATGGCTACAGAGATTCTTTACAGGTTTATAGTGGTATCTAACAGATAAGTATAATTTTTACTACAACTAGAAACTATACCTTTCTGTCTGTGGCAGTTCGGGCAGACAATAGTTTATAGATAAAATATATATTTTATTAAAGAGAATAAGATAGGCTATTCTTAGATTTCTATTTCTAAAGAATCCTATAATATTATAAGAGAGGATTTAGAGAAAAGAGAAGTCTGGGTTTAAGAAGTAGATGATGCAGGTCTAATGTTAACTTGGGAAAATTTACATCCTTTTATATCTTTAGAGCTAATTGCTAATTATTGCAGCTAAGCATAGTTTACTTAGTGCTAAACATAAAGTGTAATCACTAATTGTTAAGTGTTAAGTGCTATTATAATTACTAAGTATAATCACTAATTGTTAATTGCTAAGCATAATCGCTAATTATTAATCACTAAGTGTAATTACTAATCATTAATTGCTAAGCATAATCGCTAATCACTAATCGCTAATCGTTAATCATTAAGCGTTAAGCATAATACATGTCTGTTAAATTCTACTCTAATAATAATAACTAAATAATACTTACAACTCTTTCTGACGATCACTTGTACCAAAATTTCGACTAACGAAAACAAAAACTTGTTGAAGAAAAGCAGAAAAGACAACTATACAAGTAACGATTTTTACAGAGATCAAGGGTCTTTTGCTTCTTTTATCTTCTCTGCATTTCTCAGTATATTCAGCAAGCAAGTTAAAAACATTCTTGTACAAGATAACTGGCAGGAGGTGGCACCCTTGTACAAAAAAATTTAATAGAAGTATAGCTTCTGCTGACGAAGTTAAAGAATAGTTGGTTTAGAAAAATAGCAAGTGAGTCTTCAACACACTCTCTATCAAAGTTTAAAGCTATCTGCTTACCGAAACCCTCTAGAATATCCCACTCTTTGCTCTTTATGAAATTTCACCAAAAAAGTAGGAAAAACGGCATACTCCTATTAAAAGATCGACAACAACAATCGCTGCCAAAAAAAGAAAAGTCATGTACAGGAGTATATATCTACTTTAGGATGAATAATGTTGTTTGCATTACCTCAAGAGGTTGTAGTATTTACACTGAGTGCCCTAGCATGTCAACTTTGCTCAGGAACAAAAAAAGTGTGACCTTGTTGCAGAATGCTAGATGAAGACTCGTTGGAAATGCAAGAGAAATTTTAAACTTAGATCTTTACTCAAAAATGGATATTTTATATATTCTAATATAGACATAAATAACTAGCATAGAGTTTAGACTAGTTTTTAGTAGCACTATATAATTTTTACAGTCTGGCACGGGCTTAATAGTACCACCCTTGTCTTCTTTTCTTTTATTTTGTTTTTTCTTTATTTTTGTTTTTGGTTTTATTTGTTTTAGTTAGGTTGGACTTCATTGTTATGTTTATTCTATTTTGTTTTATTTTGTCCTTTGATTTTGTGTATATGTTCTTATTACTAAAAAGAAAAGTCTACATCGAAGTGAGGCTTATAGTTACCAGTAGAGGATTGAAGGGAAAAAAGTCCGAAGCAAGTTTTGGACTCAGATTGAAACCAATAACTACTGAAGCAGACCACATTGGGCAAAAACTTGGTGCACCAAAGGTTTGGAAGATTAATATAGCTAAGAGAGAAATTCTTGTAATTTGTCGAATAGTTATAATCTCAAATAACAATGGCAGGCAGCCGAATTATAAAAAAATAACTAAATAATACTAAATAATAATAAAATAATAAAATAATAAATAATAAAATACAATATCGAAATAATAAACTAATAAAATAATAAACAGTTTTATAACATTTTTATCTCTTTATAAAAATTTGCTCTGCAAATTCTTAATTAAAAACTGATACTCTTTATCAGTAAACTTAACAATATAAGTTATAGTAAAGTATCGAATCTGATATAACAATTCTTTAGGTCAAATACTAAAGATTTGTTAAAATTAAGTAGCTCTTTTCCAAATATTTTGGGTCTTTCAGAAACCTTGAAAAGCTTAAATAAATTCATGAATCTGTTGTTGTTCATTAGGTTATTTCTGAATAAAAATTTCTAAATACAGATAAGCTTCAATAATCTTTATCTGTTGGGGTTAAGTTTGGCCTTTATCTTCTAATTGTCAAAGAATTTTGGTCAATTGATCTTTTCAAGTTCCACTAATAAAAGAGTTAGGATGGTTATATAATAGAAAGGTAAGGAGTTGTGTCAATTCAAGATAAACTTTCTAAAAAATTTCTGTTTCTTGTTCTATTTCAAAAAAAGAATTGTTTGGAATAAGATTCACTTCTGGTTCTGTATCAGATAAAGGATTGCTTGAAGTAGAGTCGATTTCTAGGTCTTCAGTTAAAATATTATTTAAGAAACTTCTATATTAGTAGGTTGGTAGAAGTATCTACTACAGTATTTATTAGGGAAATAATATTACTAGTATTATTAGGGTCATTAGAGTTCCACAGAAAAATATTAGAAAAACAAATTTTTTAAATTGTTTTGGTTAGCAGATCCTGTCTTCAAATAGTAAAAAAGTACGTTAGGGCTAATTTTGATTATTGGACCTTCTTTTTGGTCACTAAAACTAATAAAATTTGATCGAAGATCTCTCAAATTATTAGATTCTAGACCGTCAAATGACATGTCTATCATTATATAGTATCCTAAATTTAAAAGATCATATAGTAGAGATTGTGTCTAACCAATTACCTCACCCTTTAACTGATTACTTTTTTTGTGATTTTGTTAGTGATCTTTACCAAACAAATCGATCATGTACATATTTATTAAAAACTTAGTATTTTTTTACCATTAATTTATTATATATTATTAGCCATGAATTTGTCAAGCTTTTCTGCTATAACAAATGCAAATAACGAAAGTTCTAAAAATCAAAAAGTATCTGCGCTCTATCAATGCATCTTATGTAAAGTAAAATGTTTTAAAAGTATAAGAGGGCTTTATCAACACGAAACTCTTGTGCATTATGATTACAAAACACCACCACCTAATATTTCTAATTTGCCATCAAATGCTATTCAACAGTTTCGTAAAACCTTAATCTTTTTTATTAAAAAAAGATTACTGCTTAATTTTAAAAAAACTGGAAGACAAACAATTAAAATTTCATGTAGCGAAAGTCAATTTGTTAGTGTATTTGGACCATGGATTCAACGATACTCGCCTTGCAAAAGAAAATATACATGTCTTTTTAAAGGTCAAAGTGCTGATACAACAATAGCAATGATATTACAAGATACTGAATGGAGTGAACGTTGGTATGAGTTTGATCAAAAAGCATATGTAGTATTATATACTTCATCACTATCAAACTTTCAAAAAGAACTAGAAATAAAAATAGAATGGTATATCGAAACAATAATTGATTCTCATCAGAATACAATTTCTACGAGTTTTATTGCAATCAAATTTCAGGTTGATACTATTAGTTATCAAGTTCGAAGGTAATTAAATATTATTTTATAACAA